AAAAGTGACAAATCCTCTATTGGTCATTCATAACCTTCATATGATTTTTGACATACCCAAAAAATGCAGTATTAGCGGCTCTTGACAGAATAACATCCAATACCGCCAAAGTATGCCTGTTCTCATATAAGGCACCGTGATGACCTCAAGTCAAAGGACCAATTCCAATACCGAACGTTAGAAATTAACCACTGACACTCAGATAGTTATTCATGTGAAATCTCTTAGTGAGTCTCCAATATTTTGTTCTATAGCAAAACATCTACGTGTTCATTCAAGTGTCACCATGTTTTAGCTTGTGAGATTAGCTACTTCCTTCACAAGTAAGAAATGTCACACGTGATGGTTTATCAGTAATAACAATATCCATATCTAATCGTTACTTACAACCACGGATGATTTAAAATTCAATTATATGTAATTTGTATCTCACAATCACAACTCATTGTGATTAACAAATCACTAAGATTTGAATCTACGGACTCCATTATTCAATTCAATTCAATATTGATTAATTAAATAATAGATATGCCATAAGATTGCATCAACTGTATATTAAAAGTATTTATGTTCAGAGTTAATTGGACCTAGGGCATAATACTTACATTGTCCATAGAAGTGACTGGATCTCAATTTAGATGAGGAATTGGTAGACCAAAACTAACATAGCCTATTTTAGTGACTAACCATCTAGTTGATTTGGATCTTCCACTAGATCTAGCACTGAAGCTATTGGAGTGACACAAAAGAATTCACATAGCAAAACCAAATATATTAGGAATAGTATCTGCTGCTTTTGTGATTATTGTAATAATGATCAGAATAAAAAATTTTGTGATAAAATGTATCGTTAAGGAGAATAATAATGTAGCCTCGTGGAACAGCTGATGTTACATATATATAAGAGGGAAAAACTATGCCCTTGTTTGAGCCCAATTTTTGTAAGGAAATGTGTTTTGAAATAGTGGTTTTTCGTATATATATATATATATATATATATATATATATATATATATATATATACATACTTGATCATGTTAACTGAAGCATTAAATATTACATAACAAGGTTGCATATATACTTGATCATGTTAACTGAGATGGCCATTTGAGATCCTTTTATCAGATTTTGGCTCTAGTGGAGAAAGAGTAGCAACAAGGTCCTTTGTACTAGATATATCTATGGTTCATATTGCGTCACATTAAGAGGCAAGACCAACAACTATGTTAGCTTCTTCAGTAGAAAACTTCCCCTCCAAATGTGAATCCATTAAAAGAATAACGTTCTTGACACTTATCAAAAGCCTACATACAACCAGAGTTGATCAAATTCGTAGATCAACATGATATCTATATTTGCTGAGAAAATCAAGAAGACTTCCTACAGTTAAAATACTTGAGATACTAAACTTCATGCCCTGTTGAGCATGTTAAAAAAGCCTTTAAGATCCTAGACTTAGCTCTGATTTTGTACTAGATTTATTGCTGGGTCGGACCACGACCCTAACCACATGACTCCTTTCATCAAATTTTATCACATATAGGATGTCAATTGTGGGTTGTCTCATTGCATCGCGAGAAATGGGAAAATGTTAACCTACGAACTAGCCTTCATGGTCATGTCAGATAGTGTGTCTATGAATTGGGTCAATTGTAACCCTCTTCATATTTCGTCCACTGTTCATGGATATTTTGATTTTTGAGAATGTTCTTTTTTTTTCAAACAAATATATATGATCTTAGTCTGAATCAAGCAACTAGAAAGATAGGTGTTGTGGCTCAAACAGTTGACTTATCACTTATTAAAGTGTGCTTCCAAAATTTGAGTCAAAATCGTGTTTTCAAGTTGACACTTTTGTTAGTGGAGGGTTTTAACTGGATCTTGACATGTAGCAACTGGTGACCGTTTGATTGCATTCTAGATACTTCCATCCTTATATTCAGACAGTGACTCTTTGACCGGCACACTTTGAGAGAATTTCTGGGGTTGCTTTAGTCTCTTCATCTTCTTCCTCTTCGCGAGAATCCCTCATTCTTCGTGATTAGGGTTTTGAGTTCTTGAGTGTTCAAGTGATTAAATCTTAGTGAAACATCTGTAATACTATAGATCTACATGCTACTGTACTATGTTGTGAGTTTTACGTAATCTAAGTGATTCTTGCAAGCAGTAGGATTTCTGAGAAGATCTAAGAGATCTTCTTCAAGTTCTCGAAGGAGTGTGATCTGATTCTTCATTCTTTCTAAAGATAAGTCTTAGTGTATCGCCCCAAGTTTTATCGACTTAAATTTTGAGGTCTTACCGATATCATTTCATAATCATACTTGAAGCGGAAATATTTAATTGGAAATTAAAACTCTTAATTTATTGAATACTCAAATACTGAATTAAATAAACATAATGTCATAAAGTTCAGAACATTTGATGGATAAAAAAAAAACACACACACACACACAAAAAATTCGCGCACCGCTCAGCCACCATCCACGTCGACCGTCCTAACCTGAAATGTTAAAATTAAAGGAGTGAGTAATTGATACTCAGTAGGATACATGTGCCCAAACAATATAATAACTTTTAAAACATAAATTTATAACATTCCATATCATCATTTCATCAAGAGCAATTGGTGATCAATCCAATACTTTAACACATTTGAAAAGACCCGAAAGAGATCTCACATTTCATTTCACATGAACCCACAGGTCAATTAGCATCTCATGAAATAAATCATGTAGGAAAATTATGACATTGCAGGACAGAGCACTTGCACATAGTATCCTACCTCGTTAAATCAACGAATTTTTGAAAGAATAATCCAAGAGAATATTTCGATTTCTAGACTTCTGCAGCTACGTTGAACGTCATTAAAGATGGAGAAAGGGATTCCGCTTTTAAAATATGTGTCAACAATTTGACTTTTGCAAAATATTTATAATAATAAAAAAAGGGAGTCTTGGTGCCTTTGAAATTGAGAAGCCGTGTATGTGCGTGGAATAGATGGACATAAAGAAGCAAGGAAACTACTGAATTTGAAGAACAGAACCAAAATCAAAGAAATGGTGTTCTTGGCAAAATATGTGTATGTCATTTGTATTTATAGGCAACATAAAGTAGTTTATAAGGGTTAGGATAATTTCTTTGGATTTTAAATTTTCAAATATTGATCTCTCTATCCATATGCGATTTTCTTTTAAAAAAATACTAGACATATTTATTTACATGCTATATAAAACAAGATTTGTTACAGATAGCCTTTTGTGATTTAAACCAACAATTTTTTTTTTTTATTATTAAGATTAGATACATTCTCAACTCAAAGATAAGTTAGTCACACACAAGAATCATATAATAGAAATTATTTGAATTTAAAAATCGAAAACTCCTTTCATCTATTTATATAGACGGTTAAGATTTTTAAAACAAACAAGCAAACTTACCACATGGCAAAATAAAAATAAACAGATTTTGGTTACGTGGATTTAAATCAATTAACAACTTCGATAGGATAGAACAAAAATTAATTGTATTATATAATATAATACTACTTGTAGCATATGTGCACCAATGGGAAAAAATTGTTTTGTTACAGTGGGTATCAAATGGAGAAAACAGAATTTGGGTAAGATCAGTTCTTAAACATGATTATATAAAATAATATTTCAAATGGAGGAACAGAAGTGGATATGATTCCATCTTTTTCAAATTATAAAGATAAGTGTGATTAAAATATTATAATCTTTTGCTAATTATCTTAAAAGATACATATTAAATACATTTCTTTCAATTGATTTGTCTTGGGCTTAACTCATACGACCTTATATTTTCTTGAGCCCAACCTACATTGTTTAGTTCGGACTATAAAATGAGCCCAATATCGATATATAAAATTTCATTCTATTAATACTTAATTATTTGGCCCAAATAAAATAGGAATTCAAAACTTATTTCCTTTTGTCCACAATTTTTCAAAATATAACAATATAACAAACAATAATTTTATTCTAAAATTTTCAGGGCGTTATACTTTTTCACCCCCTTAAAATAATTTCGTCCTCGAAATTTTCTTATCTAGGTGAAAAGTCATGACCTTGATCTCCTCTCTCTAGACTTCAAAATTTTTTTACCTTCTTCGCAAAGCATCACATTGTCGCATAAAAGTTTCCCAACCAATCTATTACTAAAATGGCAAAATATGAAAAGAAAAATACTTCATTTATTTCCTAAAAGGCATATGTTAGCTATAAATTGTCTTCCATTTATTCCTATCCTGACCTCTCTATCTAATTGATTGGTATTAACTGTACTGCAAATGGGATATTAACCTCTAGAACACTAATGGCTTCTTTGCAAACAATACAAGATTTAGTAGTGAAACTAGTATAAATAGGGAGTGAGCAGCTCTTGAATAAATAAGAACATACACAAGCAATTAGGATATTGATAGAATACTTGCCATCATGTCCTAATTCTCAATTGCCTCTTGCTGGGTTAAAGAAAAGACTCTGGCTGGTCCCTTTTTGCTTTGATCGTTGTCCCCTTTGGTGTGGGTTCTGAAAATTGGTAGCAATATGACCCTGCTTTCCACATCGATAGTATACATTCTTCCCATGCAAACACTCACCTCTATGAATCTTATTGCACTTAGGACAAGGAGTAAGAACATCATTCAGCCTACTTTACCCTGACCGCCTTTCAAAGCTAGCCCTCTTATTTTGTCCATTTCCTTTACCTTCGTTCGGCGCATTCCATTTCCTCTTTCCAGAAAATTTAGTACTTTTTTGAGTTATCTGATCAAGTTCTAGTCGATTTTCAATTGCTTGAGCTCATTGTAGAACCTTACCGTACGTGATGAATTCATGGGATGCTATGATTCCTCCAATTTTTTGGCACAATCCGAGTTCAAACCTTCTAGCTTTCTTTTGCTCTATATTCACTAGATGTGTTGCATACCTAGAAAGTTGTTCAAACTTTCTTTTATAATCGACCAATGCCATCTTTCCCTACTTAAGTTGCAGAAACTCTGTCTCCTTACGGTCTCTCAAGGCTTGTGGAAAATAATTTGCCATCACCTCCTTCTCAAAACGTGCCCAAATGAGGTTACATTGTTGTGCCTTAGTCCTAATGCGTGAAACAGACTCCCACCAATGTCCCACTGCATCAACTAGCATAAACTCCGTACATAAAACTTTTTGGGAATCAGTGTAGGAGAGATGCTTGAAGATCCGTTCCAAACCCCTTATCCATTCTTCAACTGCCAAAGGGCCAGCCATCCCATTAAAGCTAGGGGGCTTGTAACAAGGAAATTGTTCCACGACTGAGCTTGTAGTGTTAGAGTTAGTTTGTGCATTTTGAGAAGGCGCTTGCATTTGCTGCCTACCAAGATCTTGCACAGCTCTCAACAAATCCCTAAACATAGCAGCTTGTGTTGGTTGATGTGCCATTCCTTTAAATCAGCCAAATAAATTTTGTATTAGAAATATTCGAATGGAAAAACTCAATTTCATAAAATTTTAAATCTTAGAATACATGAGTGACGATTAAAAGAAAAAAAAAACCTATGGATTATTTCAAGTACTGATTACATTTTTTTTTTTTTGGGATGGAAGAAATTATTTATTTAAACTAAACTATCTCTAGGTTGCTAGTCTGCTGAGAATCTACTTAATCATGCACAACGGAAATAAAAACAGATTTCAATTGCCACTAAGGATCTCTTTGTGTTTAGATAGAAATTATGATAGAAAATGTACCTTTGAAGAGATCTGCAAACTTTTTGCTCTTCCTTTTGTTCAGTATTATCGATCTGCCACCCACAGCTGTCCAATTATCTAGTCTCCAATGGTAATCCACACAAAGAAACAAATTGTGACAACTAAGGTTTTTTTTGTGCTAGCAAAAATAATGAATTTTTCTACAGATCCAAAACCCTGGCTACCTATTTATACAAACCCAAATGGGCTTGGCCCCTCTCCTAACCCAATCAAGATTTAATTAACCCATTTGATTAAATCCGGTCAATGAATTAATTATAATTCGGACCAATAAATAAGTAACCCAATTAATTAATTTATCCAACGCTTGTTAAATTAATTATTGTTAAATTAATTAATTGGTAAAACACAATCTTCCAGTTCTCATTTTGTGTGTGACACATAAGGTTTCCAATCACGATGCCTAGTGATGTGAATTACTATTTCAATCTAATTAAAATGGATAAATTGAAATACCCTTTTATTTATCACCTAGTCACGTTTGCTATTCTAGATTGACATCTAGCAATGTGTCAAGGCAATACATGTGATGAAAAATGTCACGTGGTATGACAAAACCAAACTCGTTCGTTTATTGTGAAAATATAATCACTTCGTCAATATGATTCGATCAATTACGATATATGAAAGTCTGTTAATATCGATTATCGATCATATTGTTCATTCCATTTTTAAGTCAATATAAGTCGAAAATTCTTTTTCGGCTTATGAGTACACTTTGACCAAGAATTTCGTTATCGACTTAACTAAATGAAATGTATATCATAATCTCTTACTAAGAGTGACGGATCCTCTATTGGTCATTCACAAACTTCATATGATTCTTGACATACCCGAACGACGCCATATTAGTGTCCCTTGGTAGAGCAGCATCCAACATCACCAAAGTATGACTGTCCTCATATAAGGCACCATGATCACCTCAAGTCAAAGAACCAATTCCACTACCAAATGTTAGAGTTTAACAATTGACACTTAGATAGTTATTCATGTGGAATCTCTCAGCGGGTCTCCAATGTTTTGTTGTACAACAAAACATCCACGTGTTCATTTAAGTGTCACTATGCTTTAACTTGTGAGATTAGCTACTTACTTCATAAGTAAGAAATGCCACACATGATAATCTATCTGTAATAACAATATCTGTATCTCGTTAAAACTTATGACCACGGACGATTTAAGATTCAATAATATGTAATTTGTATCTTACAATCACAACTCCTTGTGATTAACAAATTACTAAGATTTGAATCTATGTTCAGTATTTAGTTCAATTAAATTAATTAAATAATAGATCTACCATAAATCGCATCAACTATATATTAAAAGTATTTATATCCAAAGTCAATTAGACCTAGGGCATAACACTTACAAACTCCTAATTGCATTAGATCCAATCACTTCTGTATCTAATATCATAAAAGTCTACATGACGATCATATTTATACAATGATAACTCTTTATCAATGGATCTGCAATATTATTAAATGTGGGAATTCGCTCTCCTTTTTATGTCATTTCTGTGTATTATCTCTTTGATGAGATTATACCACCTTAATACATGTCTGGATCATTTATGAGACCTTAATTCCTTCACTTGTGCGACAGCTCTATTACTATCATAATACAATGGCACTTCATCAACAATGTTAGAAACTACTCCAAGTTCATTAATGAACATCTTGATCCTCACTACAACTCTTTGCTGCTTCTGAAACAATCATGTATTAGGTTTCTGCAATTGAATCAGCGATTGTTTCATATTTGGAACCTTTCCAATATACCGTTAAGAGTAAACCAATTTCTCTATATAAAATCTTGAGAATATTTTATCTATGTAGATTATGATAAGTTAAGCAATCTTCTAGATCTATCTTTATATATCAAGTTGTTTCTCCCATATCGTTTATGAATAAATCCTTTGACAACCATTATTTTAACTATTGAAATATAGGGATGTCGTTTCCTCTCAAAAATATGTCATATAATATTAGGAATGCAACAATGCTCCTACTATATTCTTGTAAACACACAATTTGTCTTTATTTTTGATAAAATCAAACCATTTGATTTATCCATTAAATTGAAGATTTTAGCTCCAAGAGGTTTGCTTTAACCCATAGTCACGGTATGCAACTATTGTAACCAAAATCCGAACGGACTTAAGCAAGGCTACAAGAGAAAGGTTTAACCAAGGTCAACACTTAGACTTTTCTTACTAGCCTTGCTTTGGATGTACAGATATTCCCATCCATATCGACATTTTCCTTGTAAACCATTTACAACATATGGGTTTTATCCCATCAGGACGATCGACCAAGGTCCAAACCTTGTTTTCATACATTGAGTTCATTTCGGATTCCATGGCCTCCTGACATCTATTTGAGTCAACTCTTGACTCTGCTTCTACGTAATTAATAGATTCGTCATCCTCGATTAATAATACCTGATTAGTAACCGTAGATTCGTACCTTCTTAAAGGTCGAATGATTCTACTAGATTTAAATGGAGCGTTATGTCCTCATGAGTCCTTACTTCCTGATCAAGAGTAATCCCTCATTAGGTGTTGGATCAAACTCGGATTCATTTACTTGGTCAACTATATTTGTGGACTCTTGAACTCTTTCAAGTTCTATTTTGCTCCTACTATCCTCTCCTAAAGTAAACCTTTTTCCTCTAAGAAAATGATATACTGTGGGATGAAGACTTTCTTCTCAATGGGATAATAGAATTGATATTCAAATATTTGTTTTGGATATCTCACAAATATGTATTTATCGGATATATACTCAAGCTTATTTTAACGAACTATACAAGTTCTTGAAGATACGTTGAGATCTTGTATCCTAGATTTGGGTGGTAAATGGGAAGATCATTTGTTGTTGGTTGAATTCTCATTCAACAGTAGTTTTTAAGCCATTATTGGCATGGCACTGTATGAGACTTTGTATGGTAGACGATGTTCTTGGCCATTATACTGGGATGAAGTTGGTGAAAGGAGAATTTTGGGCCCAGAATTGGTCGAGAAGACTGTGGAGGCTATATATAAAATTAGATCAAGAATTAAGATTGCCCAAGATCGTCAAAGGAGCTATGCCAACAAAAGGAGAAAAGAATTGACTTTTGAGATTGGAGAGAAAGTATTTCTCAAAGTGGCTCTGATGAAAGGAATATTATGATTTGGAAAGAAATGGAAATTGAGTCTTAGATTCATCACTTGAAAATATGGGGAATGTGGCGTATCGTTTAGTATCGGCACCCGAACTATCAACAGTGCACAACATATTTCACATTTCTATGTTGAGAAAGTACATTTTGGATCCTAATCATGTGGTGAATGTTCAGCCACTGGATGTCCAAAGTGATATGACGTATGATGAAGCTCCCGCAGTGATTCTGGAGAGAAAGGACCATGTCTTGAACAATTGAAAAGTTCCACTAGTCAAAGTCCAGTGGAGTAAACATGGTGAGGATGAGGCTACTTGGGAAAAAAGAAGAGGACATTTTAGCCAAGTACCCCAATCTCGAACGAAATTATTTTAAGTGGGAAGAGTTGTAGCGACCGAGAAAAAAATGATTTGTTTAGTTTCAAAATAAAAATATAGAACTTAAACATAATTTGGATTATATTATTACGTTGTTGCGACACTTCCTTAAGAGTTCAAATTAAAGTTTTGGTCACGATAGTAAAGTTTCACGTACTTGTTTTTAAAATTTTTGTAAGGTGTCGGAATCTCATTTAGATGACAAAATTTTATGTTGTTACATTATTTTGACGACACATTTTATATTAATTGCTACCTTAAATTTTAAGATTTGATATGCTTGCTATACTCAAATTTAATTCTATTATCTTGATTTCTTCTTATGGTTTTTCAATCCACTAAGTTTATTAACTACCCCACTTTCTATATTAATTTCCATCTTTCTTTGTTGTTAACCACCAAAATATATGTTTATAAAAATACAAAAAAACTACCATTCATGAATTGGAATTTGAATGGCACGTCCTTTGCAACCAATTGAAGACTCCCACTTCCAAGTCCTAACCAACCCACTTACATTATCCTGTATAACTTTCATTTTAATTCATTGTAACCTCTCTTTAAAAATCAAATTTTGTATAAAAATACAAGAAACTACCATTGAATTGGAATTTGATTGGCACGTCATTTGCAACCAATTGAAGACTCCCACTTCAAAGTCTTAACCAACCCACTTACATTGTCCTGTATAACTTCTATTTTTATTCATTGTAACCACTCTTTAAAAATCAAATTTTGCAACTCCATTTTAAATGCAATTCACGGCCACTTCCTCAAGAATTAAAGAAAGAGATTGCCTCCAATTGTAATCTCCAATTTTAACCAACCCCAAATTTTTCTCCCAAACTATTATACATATACATAAAATTATTTTGCCCTTTCTCCACAGACCAAGACACCTTGAATCTGAATTTTTTTTCTTCTAAAGAAGAGGCATAGAAGTACGTTGCATTTTATTTCTTATTGAATGCAAAAAGGGTATTCAAACTCCAAGTATTAAGGTAGTGGTGTTTCAGCGCTTTTGTAAGTGTGTAAGATTTATATGTTTTTGTTTACATTAAACTTTTTATAATGTTAATGATGATGAAATCATCGTTTGGTGGTTTACACAAGATATGAAGAGAT